TACCTCAAATAGCATCTAAAGCAAGCATTACTGTGTACCCCACATTATTACTCACCTCACAAGTGCACCTGCACACCCATTGTTCAATAAGCTCTACACATACTTTGTCAGCATTATTTAGATGCAGAAATAGCTTGAGGCAAGAGTGGTTTAGCATAAGTTTATTTGCACAAGAATTTCAGCATCATTAAGGTCCAAACCCCAATTTCCAAGGATGACAAGTGAACACCACAGTGCAGAACAGTAGACAAAGTTACTGTGACCAATCTCACATTTGGGCTCATCACAAGTCCAAATATTTCTAGTACTCTGTTTTTCCAGCTAAAAGAGGGAGGGGGAGAAAGAAAAAAACAAACAAACAAAAAAAACCCAAAAACAAAACCAAAAACCAACCCAAAAAACCAAACAAACAAACAAAAAAAAACCCCAAAAAAACCAACCAAACAAAAAAACCCCTTCACTTCTTCCAAAGAGATGACAGGTTTTCCAAGAGCTTACTTCTTTTAATAGTAAAAAATAATAAGAAACATAGGAAAAAGGCCTTCTAAATTTCAATGGGAAGTGCAGTTTTATTCAGAGAGACAAGCCCAATCCAGACATGTAAGTGAGAAAATCCAGAGTGCTCCAACCATTCCCCCCAAAGTTTCTACTACAGACCAACATCCCACTCTATATCTGGCTTCACTGTAAATAAAGAACATTTATGAAATACACTTAACTGTATGCAAGAAACAATTGAGCAAGACTTAGATGTGAGGACTAGAAGTTTTATTATTTATTTGGCTACCCCAATGCCCAAATTAGACCAAGCTGCTGGTGGCTGTGGTCAGTTACTGCTCATTCCTGTGCCTAACAACTACAGAATCCTGACTGAGTTGAGTGAGAGGAATGGGAAACACGTACCATCAGTACACTGACAGTTTAGGATTAAGGCAATTTGTCCAGGTTCTCTTCTAAGAGGCCTTTCCCCAACTACTCATCTAGTGACATGCAGAGATCACTACTAACATCAGTGGTTATTCTAGGAATTGGGAACCCACAAAGCATAGGCATATACTGAATGCTTAACCCCAGAACTCAAGTCCAAAATATGGATCTTTAAGTTTCAATAAAAAGTTTTAGATTACCATGTGTCTAATGCCTCACAGCCCATGACAAGATTTGGACTAGATTTAAATACTACCTACTGCTTTGTAGAGGAGATGATTAAGTGAAAGCATGAATATCTTTTGAAAAATGGTTGTTCAGAAGCAAGCAGTAGTCTTAAACCCCCAACTCAGTGATTGACTGAGCTGAGGACAAACACAGCAATAATTCAATCTTTAGCAGAGTAAGCACAAGCTATGCTTAAGCTTACAACTTGTCACAGTGACCATGGATCAGCACAGGGATTTTACCAAACTGACTAAAACACAGTCTTCTACCAGGTCTCTTTGGTAGCATCTCCATCAATTAAAAAAGTCTATCTTACAGTGAGGAAGTCACAACAATAAACTGCAAGTCAAGGGGAACGTGGCAATAAATGTTGTCAACAGGTGCTTAACCCCAGACTGGCTTTGTCTAGCAGTGCTTACAAGCTACACAAAGAAACCAGCTATTTTACACCACAGCCTAGTTGGTAGAAGCTTGATCCTGAGGAATGATGCACTGAGTGCTATTGCAGCTTTGTTTTAATGCCACTGCCCAGAGGGAATGTATCAGGTAACAGTCTGAAGCACAGTAGTCTCTCTCTAAGCTCCACATGACACACAAGAGGTTAGAAGAGATTTATTAGAGCAGAGGCATCATTAGTGCAGAGGGGTGACTGAACCAAGCAGGCATCCTAGACTTGGCCCAGGGTCATCACTTTTACCTAGTGCTCATTCTCAAATTACCCCTTGCAAGAGGGGTCACCATAAACCTGAACTCAAACCAGCTAACCCACAGCAAATTGAGCCACTGCCACTTGCACCATCAAGCTGCCAGCACCACCCAGAACAGAAAGGGGTAGCACTTGCAGCACAGTGATGAAAAGCTACCAAGTACACCAGCTCTACCTGCCAAGCCTGGATTATTTGGAAGGCAATGGGATGAGCAGTGCCCCAGCAATCCCTGGTACTCCAGGGTCAATGCAGCAGGTAGTGTGCAGCTTCAGGATACAATTTAACCATTTGAGGGTTTCCTATCTAAGAGCCAGGTTATAAGCATCTGTATTTCCCACATGCCAGAGCATCCTAACAACCAGACAGGGAACACAAGAGTCCTGCAAAGCTCAAACCCAGGCACTCAGCTGTTCAGAGAGCAGCAATTCAATGTGGAGCTTCCTCAGAGGCCTCAGCATCAAGTTACATCAGCAAAAGCACAATAGTTATGGCATGAAACTTAACTTCTCCATAGCTCTATCTCACTAGGAATCCAATTCAGCCTTTTTTCATTCTCTAGCATTTCCTTTTCCAGGAGACGCACCTGGCCTGATGTCCAGCAGCCAAGGCATTAAAGACTAATAAAACAAGTCTGTGTTTCCAGCTTGTGAGGACTCCTTCCAAGCATCTCACCACTTCCATGCGAGCCAATGCACAAAACCAGTTCCTAAAGATCATCCATGACACCACAGAGAAGGCAGATACCAGAGTCTGAGCCCCTCTAGGCACCTGTTCACTTCTGCAATGGCTACAGCATAGGCTGGCTTCAAAAACATCTATGCAAGAGAGGACAGCAATTACAAACTCTTAAGTCTTCTTTATAGTGACACTCTATACTAGGCCAAGTATTGCTTTCCATGCAGGAGTTATTCTTGCCTAGGATTGCATTCCAGCAGTAAGCTTGCACTAAGTTTAACACACATGACAACACTGGCATCATGTTAGTTTTTAAAAAGTCAAAGTCTTGGATGACAGATGTCTTGTCTGTAAACCACACTAAGTCCAAGCCACAGTTAATGAAAAAGGCTGGGTTTGCTTTCAAGTTTAGCTACTTTGGCTGACTAATCAGGAAGCCTTTAATGAAAAAAACATACAATATAATCCACCAAATTATTTGCCTTTTTGCTACCGAAGTTGCTATCAAAACTGTTCAGGAAATCAAGCTAAAGCCTGCTTAGCTATATACAGTCCACTTGGTAGACTGCATCCCACCCTGCCTTCCTAAGCTAAATGGAGTCTGAACAGAGAAGTAGCCTCACTGCTCTGTTGAGACAGTCTTTATGAAGTAGTTATGAAAAGTAGAAAGAACTTCTTGGTCTGATGAGGAGCAGGCCATTTTTACCATCATTTAAGTACAGCATTGCTGCTGTTTTCCACCTTGAATGGCAACCAAACATTGGTGTTTCATCTGCTTTACCTTCTAAGCCTTAACCATTTGTTGGATCAGGCACTTTGGTCTTACAAGCTTGCAGAAACAGTAATAAATAGTTAAAGAAGTAATAAAAAAGATTCAGTGAACAAGCATTTTTGAACATTGCACCAGCACATAATAAATAGCTCTAAGATTTGCCTTTCTAGTCTACATATCTGGTTAAACAAAAGAAACTCAAGATCATCGCTATATGTATTTTACTATTGTAATTCAGTGAAAATCATCCCATTAATAACACCACTACATAAATAACAGAGGAATTTTTAACCTTCCTTATAAAGCCCAGGAGTCTGAAAGCAGCAAGTTCAGCACACACCCTTGAGGAAGATCAGCCCTCTGTACCTACCCCCAAGGGAGTGCATACTCTTCCAGAGACTATTCTGAACTCAGGCCCAGACTTTCAACACATAGAACTTCTGTGGAGAGCTCTGCTCAGGGTTTGTACACCTCTTCAAGCAAGGGTTAAGAGCAGTAAAAAGGAAGAATTTTACCTTAACCACTCGAAATGCTGTCTCATGCAGTGACTAGGTGATAGTGATAACCCAGTAAGCTCAGTGGTGACAGAAAGGCAAACCTCCAGGACCAGCCTGAGGTTGTACAATAAGAAATTCATTTTAGGAGGCACTTTCAGAATTTGTACTGTGGCAGGAGTGCACATAATCCTGCAACTTATAGCGACTTGGGATTTTTCTTTAGGGTTTGGGGTGGTTTTGCTGCAGACCTGTGAGGAAGAAAATCTGGTCAAACCCCAAAGTAAGAGCTGTGCTACTTTCCAACTGTGCCAAAATTGTTTTGAAAGATAGTCAGAAAAGCTTTAGCTTTATCCTGGACTCAAAAATATTTTTCCAAGTTAACTGTTCAAACTGTGGCTCCAATTCTATTTAAAGCTTCAATTCCTCATTTCAAGGACTTTTTACATTACCAAGTTTTAGATTATGTTTTGGTATGTTTTTAGAAAGGCCACCTTCCAAGTTTTTGTAGTCAAGAAAAATTTAACCAGCTTATGCTTTGTGAATAGACTTACTAAACTATCTATCTTCAACTTCCAAGAAATTAATCTTGAACTCAAGGCAGGACCACATAGCCATAGGCACTACAGGAAACAACATTTATGTCCTCTACAAGACAGACAGTATCCATACTGCTACCAGCTCACGCAGACACAAAGTGAAAGTGACCCAAGCATAACATGAGCCCAGTCTTGGCACAATTAGTTCAAGAGAAATTTGGCCAGAACTTGGACTGAGGAAGAGTAATGAGGTTAGGAAATAGAAAGCAGAGTTTTGCTGCTACTCCAGGAGCAGCTTCTGCTTAAGGCATTTTACAGTCAATTAACCAACCCAGTTTACTGCATACTCCACTTAGATCCCATGTTAACAACCCCCTTCCAGAGCTAGTACAAAGTTTCTTAACTGCTCCTCTTAACGTCTGGCTGCTGGTTCTCTTCTCCCCATGAAGAGGTAATAAGGCTTTTTGGCATTTGTCGAGATACTCTTAAAGATTCATAGCAGGTCACCTGGCTGCATAATCCCACTGCACACCAGGAAATGGACAGTCTGATACAGTCACATTTCCATTAGAGAACATCCAACTGACACTTATTAATTGTCTATATTTACACTCTTGGCTTTCAGCAGTCTCCAGCCAGGAGCACTCGAGGGGAGCGATCAATTGCAAGGCAACCAGGTGGGGTAGGACTGGCTGTACAGCACAGGGGCACTTGCCAGGTAGTAGTTACTGAAGTTTGCATCGCTGACATAAGGTGCTGGCTGGTAGTAACAGGTCACATTAGTGGCATTAGGGATGACATTCTGTTCTGCCAGCACCTTGAGTGCCAGCAGAGAAATCAAATTGAGAGTCTGCCTCCGCTCGTGCCCCATGAGGCAGACGGTGCTCTCATTCACCACCCGGCGCAGAATCATGAGGTAGTCGTACTTGCTCCTCTCTTCTTTGGAGAAGTGGTTCTGGAGGTAGGTCTCCAGCTTGCGCTGCTGATCCAGGATGTCTGGGAAGTCTATGAAGAACCGGGAGCACATGTAGCGCTCCAGCGTTTTGATCTCGTCCTTATCCATGGGCCTGAAGTCTCGTACCAAGAGGTTGCTGTACTTCAGCAGCCCACCACCTCGGATCTCCTCAGGATTTTTGGTAGCTATCAGCTTGTTCTGGAGGTGATCAAAAGCTGCTTCAAAGTCTCCATACATGCTCTCCCCAATCACAGTTGGGTGGAAGTGCTCTGACATGGGGGTTTCTGAGTAGTTATAGTAAAAGAGCAGGGAGTCCAGAATGATCTGGAACGAGTCCACGCTGAACTCAAACTGCCGCCGAATGCAGTCCACAAACTTAAGCTCCACATTTTTGCCATGCTTGTTGGAAAGCGATATCAAGCTCCAGCGGTCAGTCTCCGTGCACACTTTGACCAGCTTCTGGATGTAGGCTTCTTTCAGTGTCACGGGACTGATTTTCAGCTTGCTCACTCCTTCCGGCAGGAAATTCAAGAGGGATCGCAAGACCACATCTCGGACTAACTGAAACTCTGCCTCACTTGGAAGAGAAACTTGAAAAATGAGATCGAGGTCTTTGCATCCCAGCCCATTATCCTTGACCAGGACGTGACCAGCTGCAGAGCCGTTCAGACGGACATCATGGACCACGATGCCCGCCTCGCTCAGCCGGCTCCGAACCGTCTGGACAATGTCCTTCAGCGTTATCTGCAGCGTCGGGAAGTTCCCCCGGCCGTGGATGGGAACCACCTCTGTGAGAACCTCATGCAGACGGCTGACCTGCTCCCAGTTCAGGACACTGCAGGACATGGAGTCTGCTCCACTGCTTCCTTTGCCTGCCATCTTTGGGCTTTTCTTCTCCAAAGAAACTGGAGGTAGGATATAAAAAAAAAAAGACAAATCAGAGCTTCTGTTTGTGCTTCCTAGATCTATTCCTAGACTCTGTTTTTCTGTCCATTCACACAGACACAAACTAGACAGAAATAACAATGTATTAATGATTATCAGCAATCCTTTCACCTGAAATGAGACACAGCTTTTCTATTGGTGCAGGCAAAAAAGATATTAGTTGCCATTGTTCTTTTTTTTAGTGAGGTAGAGTTACTTCAGGAAAGTAGTTTGAAAGTAGTTTGTGTCAAATGGAAATTACCAAAGATGACACAGGCTAAAGCTAAAGTCATCAGCAGCACCAGCAGAAGTGAGATGAGCTGCAAAGAACTCCTGAGAGTCAGGCTTTGAAGTTGTTTCATGATGCATAGAAAGCTCAAACTGCTGTCTCCAACTAACTCAACTGTAGAACAGCCTCAGGTGTTAGTTCCAGGGCTTAGACATCCAGTCCACTGACAACTCTTAAATTTTGTCAGAGATACAAGATTTCTTCCTTTACATAGAATGCTTTCCTTTCTAAATGATCCAGCATCTATCACTCACAGGATAAAGGCCAAGTACATCTTGCTCCTGCAAAAAGCTGCATCTCTTCAACATCCTGGACAGAATTTCAGCTGCAAACTCAGGTAACAGCATTCAATGGGCACTCCAATCTTTGTAAGCAACTCTTTGCCCTTCTTCAGAGACACTGCCTAACCAAACCACCTTTCTGGAAATGTTCTTACTTGCCCCAAGGTCTGCTCATTTGTGAATGCCAAACAAGCTTGTAAGATCTGGGACAAATTCAGATGATGCATATCAAGTTCATGTTACTCTTTTAACACCCAGAATCTCACTAACCAGACTTGGTCACAGCCTTGTCTGAACATTTCAAGCACAAGAGAATGATCTGATTAGCTGTGACAAGATTCCTTAAGTCACTTGCCTTTTGTAGCATGGAGATACTTACAGATGTTCTACAGTCATGCAACTCAAACTGGTGTTAATAACCTTTTCTTTTTTTAAGTGTTCCAGGTTTCTGTGTAGCCAGGTGCTTCCTGACAGCTACGGACTAATTCTGGCCTCACCTTCTACTGCCCCAAGTACCCCTGAAGACTGCAGCTGCCAAGGTCAGACTAGTCAAATTTAACCTAATTAACTCTTGCCTACCAAGAAGGAAAAACCAAACCCTATAGTTTCCTACATGCAATAGCACCGTGCATGGAACATTTTTAAGCATGTTTGAAAGAACAGCTACTGTCATCTCAGACCTCCCCTTTTTCAGCTTTTCATTTTTGAGCAACTCATTTGACCAGCCACCTGTTTGGATGAAGAGAGTCAAACCTAGAGCAAGCACACAGTGAGGTTAAAATGCTTCTGGGGATGTAGCTTCTGTCCTTGAGCATGACCTGCTGCATTACAAACCGTGCTGCCATGGAACACATCAGCACCAGCAGGCACAAAACAAACCTTTGATTTGCAAGATGATTAATCTAGGACAAATCAAGAGATTCTTCAAGCTTGATCTTTAATGTTCCAACACAGCATAAACACAAAAGCATCAAGCCTGCCAGCAGTTGCTCTCATGCAGTTCAAGCACATTAAAGTACATTTCCTCAGTAAATTCACTGTATTTCCATTAAAGCCTTCAGATCACTAAAGAACACGGGAGTCTTCCCACGACTTCTAACTGAAGCTGCAAGTGCTTTCAGCTACGGCCTCTGAAACTATTCCCTCTCTTTCTTCCCATTTGTAGCCCTCTCTGCAGCCAGGACAACACTCACAGTTCATTTGCCCAGAGACCAGAAAGGATTTGCACCAGTGCTTCCAACCCCACCACACACACTTGGTTCTGCTTGGTGACCCTCACCTAGGAGAATAATGGACATTGCTGCCCCTGGGGGGAGGAAGACGAAGTATTTCATTTCCAGTTCAGCGGAGGGCTTAATTCTCAGGCTATGGACCTCCAAAGCCTCCCACCCCCAAACCACTAGTGTCTGCCTACTCGGCAAGCTTTATGTTAGTGACAACAGATTCCTAGCGACTCCAGTGTATTTGGGATGCTAACATCTCCCAAGACCCTTGCTTCTCTGCCAGCCATTCCCTTCACAAGATCTGACACCTGAAGATACTCACTCCTTAGGAAGAAAACCACGACGGAGGCAGGAGACACTAGCGATCTTTAATACATAGCTATCTTTACACATAACTATCTTTATTACCGAGTGTAAAGAGTATTGAATACAACACTCAAACCAGAAGCAAAAAAGAGCGAGAACTACACACCTTCACCTTGGTCACGACCAGGTGCGTTACCCTGCAGCAGCAATTTCTCCTATAAGACATATAATTTGACACAACACCCAAAGAAGTCCGCGGGCCTGTCCCGCGGAGCCCAGCGGCGCTGGGGACGGCAGGTCCGGCTCCCTGCGCCTGACGCCGCCTCCAACACCCACGGCCACGGCAGAAGCGCTGCCGAGCTCCCGCTCCCGGGAGAGCCAGCCCGCCCGTCCCGCCCGGAGAGGGGAGAGGAGCCCCGGCCCCGCCGCTCACCTCGGCCCCGCCGCTCACCCCGAGCAAGCACGCCAGTCCCGCCGCTGCCCGCACCGCCCTTTATGGCCCCGCATCGCCGCCCCGCCCCGCCCCGCCCCGCCCGGCCCGGCCCGGCCCTCCCGCCGCAGCGGGGGCGGCTCTGGCCCCGCTCCGGCCGCCGGTCCGGGCGCTCCGCCCGGGCAGCCCCGCGGCGCTCGGGGCGGGGGCGGCCCCCGAGCCCCGGAGCCCTCGGCCGCCACCTCGGGGGCTCGTCCCGCGAACTCCACTCACAGCGCCCAGGTCCCCACTCCCATATAGATACAAACTTGTATATGAAGTTTGTATATAAATACAAACTTGTCAAAGGGCTCCTCGGTTTAGGAAGGACATTGCGGGGCTGGAGCACCTCCAAAGAAGAGCAACGAAGTTGGTAAAGGATCTGGAGCACAAGTCCCATGATGAAAGGCTGAAGGAGTTGAGGTTGCTTAGTCTGGAGAAAAGGAGGCTCAGGAGAAACCTTATTGCTCTCTACCACTGCCTGAAAGGAGGATGTAGCCTCGTGGTGATCAGTCTCTTCTTCCAGGCAACAAGTGACAGGGGATGACACAGTCTTAAGCTGTGGCATGTTCAGGTTGGACGTTAGGAAGAAATTCTTCACTGAAAGGGAGATGAGACATTGGAATGGACTGCCCAGGGAGATGATGGAATCACCATCTCTGGAGTTGTTTAAAGGAAGACTGGATGTGGCATTCAGTGCCATTATCTAGTTGACATGGTAGTGTTTAGTCGTAGGTTGAACTCGATGACCTCAGAGGTCTTTTCCAACCTAATTGGTTCTGTGATTCTGTGAATCTATGGGCTTACTGAAATAAAACAAGGCTTCCCCGATGGCACCTTGTCCCAGACAGAGCAGCTGTCAGCAGAGATCCCAGACATCCAGCTCTGCCAAGGAGTTCTCTGTGGTGCTCGATTTGGAACAGCCAAACCAGGCACTCATCCAGAACCTACAAGGATGGGCTCACAAGCAGTGCTGCAACAGCAGCTACTGGAAACTGTGGCTGATGGGCTGTGGGAGGCTCCGCGCACATGGACAGGGATGATGGAATCACTGGACAGGAATCAACTTGGAGATGCAGTGTCATAAAAATCAGCCGGTGGTTAATAGTGCAGGGTGCGAGATCGTGCGTTCCGGGGGCAAAAGTCACAATTTCTGCTGAGAACACAATGTTTCATCAAATACAGGGGTATCTGTATTTTGTTAGGATAATCAGGACTCAATAGAAGCAGGGGAAAAAAATCAACACAACCTAGGGCAGGCCAGCTGACATAATCCTAGTAGAAGTAAAAAAAGTACTTACAAAGCATTGGAAAAGAAAAATCACCACTACATCTGTTATACTGTTTGGCCATACACAGTCAAGAAAGATGAATTAAAACCTGCACACATATGGAGAAGAGCTGGCCTTGAATGAGGAAACTGGAAAGCTCCTTTTTGCCTAGCAAACAAAACAGACCTGCCTTGTTTCACCAACAAAGCCAGAGCTGAGCAGGAATAGGTTAGATAATCATTTATTTTACTCCAGTATTGCCCCACCGGGATAAATAACAGGAAACAAAATTACCTATTTAAATTAAAGGATAACGTTGGCACAAGAATCAGATTTGAGGCAAGCTGCCATCTTGTTGTCCAATGAGATAAATCATGAGATTTCAGAGCCTTGCAGGAGGGAAGGGAATAAAACTAGGTTTAAGGTGAAGCTAGAAAAGAAAATAAGTAATATTATGGCCTGTGGTGGTATGGAGCTGGACATGAGGGTCCAGATGTCTCTCAACACTTTTTCCTTATGTTTCTAAAATTAGAAAGAGGAATAGGTAACTCAAAGAGAAGTAGTAGCACACATGAGAGAAGCATAACCACTTCTAAGGAAATGTCTCACTTGGAGATTAAAACAGTGAATGATCTCACCTCTTAAGCGTATTTCTTCAGCGAGATTTCTGCCTCAAATAATACTGCCTTTTGACAATAACTGATGATTTTGGGCAGCATATTTTCTGTTGCCACATGGGGAGCAATTAAAATACTTATTAAGAAATATTTTCTATTGGGAATATTTATCAGATACCAATATAGACAAAGATAAATGCAGCAGATACTGCTATTACGGATGTTAAAGTATTAATCAAAGGAAAAAATGTGAACTCCATTCCTTAAAGTTCATACTTTACATTATTTGTTTAAAAGTTCTTGTTTCACAAAAACTTTTTTAAACACAAAGAGGTTTCTCAACTCTGTTTCAGGGTGTTTTCTTTATCTTCTGACTAGCAGAGCTTGAGTGTTTGTCAGGGGAACAGTATACTGCACAGTACTGTCTGCAGTGAACTTAGACCTCCTGACAATAAACTTTTTCTTTTTAATTGCTTTTCACAGGTGCCACACAAAGGGT